CACCCAACTAACTTACACATTAGTCGAAATAAACTCATGTTAAACTTTTCAATCTTAATCTACGACCCAATCTGCAATCTTAGCCTCATTCGAAAATTTAATAGATTTGTGTCGAAATTAAATTAATGATAACTTTGAACAAAAAATAAGATAACTTTTAAACAAAACGTCATCTTTTATATCTCTAAAACACATATCAATGATAACTTTGAACAAAAAATAAGATAGATAGCCTATTCATAAACAATCAATAAAAAAGAAACAAACTAATTTTATGTCGAACCTGAAAACATTGCAGTTAATATTTTCAAAAAAAATATATAGAAATTATTAAGGAAAAGTTTACGTTTATTTACTGTCGTATTTTGATTTATTTGATGGTCAACCTAATAATTGTTGTATGTAATTTTTTGTTTTATTTGGAGAAAATTGTGAAATATAGATTATGAAAAAGGGAGGGGGGAGATAAATTAGAGGGAATCATAAATTATTCAACTCACTATTAAGGAAGTTATATGATTCAAAACTAAAAATATACTTTATTAGTATAGCTGGGGATGTAAAATAACTATCTAGATAGAATAGGAATGAAAGAGTTAAAGTATGAATAAAATATAATTTATAATACAGTTGGAAATTAGAAAAGTAGTCCAAGCGTGGGGGCAATTTTTTCTACGACAACAATCAGCATTCGCAGCCCAAGAGAGAAGCCCAGCAAGGGAGCCCAGTTGAGTGAGGCCCAGTTTCCACAGCCCTTTGTGCAGCCTGCGTCCGGTCAGAGTCGGCCCGTGCTCCTCACAACGAGTTACCCAATAATCAATCTCATAAAGTTGTGTACAAAGAGGTTTTTAATAATATAAAATTTTTTCGTGACCAACATTGTATGATGAATAATGTTCGTATGTATTAGACTCTCATATATCTAATGCATGTCAAATTATAGTATTCTCTAAATTTATATACACATGCATCGCACGGGATACGCACTAGTATAGTAAAAATTACTTTAAAATATTTATAAATAAGAAAGAAAAAATTAAAATATACCTACATGTAAATCGAGCAATTCAGTTAATAGAACGACTTTCTATATAAATAAAAATTTTGACATTTTTTTGTGATAATTATCACAATAAAAATCTGATTTTCGTATTAATTACAAATCATTTCAATTTCTTATTCTTTTAATAACATGTCTTCAAAAAAGTATCTATTAAATAGTTTTTTTCCTAGAAAATACTAATTTTAATATGAATGATAAAAATATAATCACAAAATAAAAAATTGAAAATCAGTTATAGAAGTTTTATTATGATATTTATCACAATGTTAAAATAGAATATTATTTATCAACATTAATAGCAAATCACAACGATTCTTATTCATTTAACAACCAACCATAAACCAAAATGTTTTTTTATCGTACCTTCAAAAAATCATGTAATCCAGCGGATTATTTTGAAATCCTTTGATTTATTCATTTTTTTAAAAGTTGTAAAATGCAATTTCCACAATATCAAAAGAAACTTAACTATTATCTTTAATAACAAAATAATCTTTATCCTTAATAAAATATCATGCATTTTTCTGCTTTGTTGGGCATCCAACTATATGTAGACCGAATAATGCATGAGAACATTGCAAAATATAAGTACAAACTAAAATTAGAATCAATACAAAAATCTTATTTTTATAACTACACAATACTATAAATAGAATTGATGTCAACATCAATAACAAATTGCTCCGATCATGTTGTAACGAGCCATATCTACCAAAAAAATATATAAACATGAACTCTAAAATTGCTTTTATACAAGCAGTTTATAATTTTTGGTCCCTGCATTGCACGAGCTACGTATTAATTAATATAATATATAGGTGATAAAGGTTTAAAAAGTCATACTATATTTAAAATTAAATTTGTTGGATAATAAAAAGGGTTGTTTCGGGAATTCTCTTGTTGGGAGCTTAAGAGTTATTTTGATAGTTTGTTTTTGCCTTTTTTTGGATTCTAGCGTTGCTAGTGTTGTCGGATTTAGGAAGGTCTTCTGACATGTCCTCTCAGTTTATTCAACTTTTGGCTGCGGCTTGGAGTTGTAATTTGCACATTTGTGCGTTTTGATCTATAAAATTCTCTATCGTTTCGAGAAAAAAAAAAAAAAAAGGTGTTTCCATTACATTCATACTATATATAGGTGATAAAGGTCTGCACGTCCCTCAGAGGTTTGAGTTTGCTTTCAAATTATCCCTTGGTAGGTGCGGTTAAACATAGAAACAACACAACTGTGAAGTAAGTTGCATATAGGAGCTGTATATGAACAACCAAAAATGACAATGCATGTATGTATTTGCATCTCCTTTAAGTAACCCATCAGTTATTTTCATTGGGATGACTTGTAAAAAAATCTCTATTTCTGTTAAAACAGAAATTAGATAGGTTTTCATAATGTATACTCTCCACTGGAGATACAATCTTTGTAATAGACTAATAATAGCTGATTCTAAAATGCAAAGGTCTTTGACATTTTAACGACCAATATTTATTTTTCTTACTAATAAAAAAAATTAAAGTTGAAAGAGAGTCACAACCATAGACTACAATTTTTGTTAACTAAGGCAGCCTTCCAAAGGTTTGTAAATGATGAGGTGGCGGCACAGCCCTCGTCTCATCAGGGTAGATCGGCCATCGGGGAAAATGAGTTCCGGTAAAGGGGGTAAGATCCGGAGCTTGACGACTAGGAGGATATGGCCAAGGATTGTTCTGAACCACTGCAGGATATTGGGAGGGTAAAACTGGAATATTGTAGTCTTGAGTTACTCGAGATACGGTCTGAGGAAACACAGCTCCAGTTTCGAAATCCGCATGTGTTCGGAAAATTCGACTCTGTGTCTGAGGCTGAGGAGGAAGTACCATGATTTGACCTTCTCGGCTAAAGGGCATTCGAGTAATTTGAGGTCTGCTTGGAGGGTCCCAATACTGATTTTCCGGATACCGGAAGTTGGGTACTCGAGTACCCAACTGATGAGTCATATGATGTTGATGAGGAGGAAACGGGCCTGGGTGTAGGTCCGGGCCCGGGCACACGTGGTGGGTATTATTAGGGTTGGCTCTTGCAGTCGGAGGTGGCCAGATGTTCGATTCGGGCTGTCCGTAGCCCGGGCCCACCTGGTGGGTATTATAAGGGTTGGCTCTTGCGGTCGGATGTGGCCAGACGTTTGATTCGGGCTGTCCGCGGCCCGGGCCCACCTGGTGGGTATTATTAGGGTTGGATCTTGGGGTCGGAGGTGGCCAGACGTTTGATTCAGGCTTTCCGTGGCCCGGGCCCGCCTGGTGGGTATTATAAGGGTTGGCTCTTGCGGTCGGAGGTGGCCAAGCGTTTGATTCAGGCTGTCCGTGGCCCGGGCCCGCGTGGCGGTTATTATTAGTGTTGGCTCTTGCGGTCGGAGGTGGACAGACGTTCGATTCAGGCTGTTCGTGAGATGGGCCGACTAATTGCGGGGGCCTCCGTACATTGGGCTGCTGCTGGTTTTGATTTATGTTGAGTATCGGGTTTGTTTTTCTTTTCTTCATGGATCGACGGGCTCTCTGGGTATTATTAGGGTTGGATCTTGTGGTCGGAGGTGGACAGACGTTTGATTCGGGCTGTCCGTGGCCCTGGCCCGCCTGGTGGGTATTATAAGGGTTGGCTCTTGCGGTCGGAGGTGGCCAGGCGTTCGATTCAGGCTGTCCGTGGCCCGGGCCTGCCTGGCGGGTATCATTATGGTTGGCTCTTGCGGTCGGAGGTGGACAGACATTCGATTCAGGCTTTTCGTGAGATGGGCCGACTAATTGCGGGGGCCTCAGTGCATTGGGCTGCTGCTGGTTTTGATTTATGTTGAGTATTGGGTTCGTTTTTTGTTTCTTCATGGATCGACGGGCTCTCTGGGCCCTCCTCTTTTCTGCCCGGGCCGCTGTTTTCTCTGCTGCAGTCTTTGGTGCATTTGGTTGCAACTGTGGAGAATTCATATAGGTATTAGTTAGGCAAAAAATGCATTTTTTAGTTCTGTTGGTTTATCAACATAGCAATTTTAGTCCCAAGGTTCCAACTTTTCGCCTTCTGGTCTCGGAATTTAATATTTTGCTGCAATTTCACATCACTGAAACTGCAACAAAATTTTAAATTACAAAACTTAAATTGCTAATAAAAAATCCATCTCAAAGATATAAATTTGGGAATTTGATTGCAGCAAAATATTAAATCACATAACGAAAAGGCAAAATGTTAGAATCTTGGGACTGAAGTTGCTATGACGTTGAACCAACAACGACTAAAAATGCATGTTAGCATATTAGTTAATACAAGATGAATGCGGGCCGTTTACTTGTTTACTATCGACGCTAAAGTTTAAGATTTAAAAAAAAAAAAAAAACATCCCTGTGACTCACTCAGACCCTTGAGTTACACGATTTGGAAATCATAAATTCTTATATGGGGCAACCCATCAGGCTGATCGACCCGTCATACAATGGTGAATCACAAATTTAAGAACAAGTCACAAAACTGCCACTGAGGATATCAAGCCTAATTGCAAACAAATCCAGTCATCTTCCCAAATCACAAATTCTCCCTTGAAGAAAAAGATGGTAACAGATGCATTAATGTACAATGGAGATCTGTAACTACGAAAGATTATTGCCATCTTTTGCAAAGTGGTAAATGGTTTCTTTTTTTACAAGAGAAATAGATAGATGGATAGAGATCTAGACGAAGTCAAGTGGCATCTAAAATCGTCCATAACTAACCTTTTGGGGGCATTTTCGTCTGTAATGACCACTCAATTTACATCTCTTGCAAAAGGGTTGAGGATCAAAAGCGGCAACATCATTTAGTTTCATCTTCATGCACTCCTACACATAGGCATAAGAGTAGAGTTTCTGCCCCAAAAATGGCAGGGAGCAATCGGATTACAAAAGTTGAAAGGGTCACTAACCGAACCATAGTGGCCCAACCGCCCACATTTGTAACACGAAGCTCCTGTTGACCCATCAGATTTATCGTCCACACAGCACAGATGACCAGACTTTCTGCAAATGTAACAATCCATAGCCTGCCCGATAAAAACAACTGTTTAAGAATGGAACAGTAATTTTACGAGCTAAAAACAACTGTTTAAGAATGGAACAGTAATTTTACGAGCAAATTTTAGTTCAGTCTCATGAGATAAAATACTTCTTTGTTCCTTGAGAAGCCGAAATAAGATACTGTGTGGGGGGAACAACTGAATGTTCCTTTTCTTAAACGATTTCCGTAGCTAAAAATGGTCCCGACAAAATAATCTTTAGGTATTCTAAAAACTATTCGTCGTTATATGGTTTGAGTTCCAATTTAAAAAGTACTCTGGCGACATAATAGACTCGGTCGTAGCAAGATACATATATTTTAATAAAGAAACAGAAGCAGTAGCCACAATCCTATCAACATGAATAATTGTACTTCTAAATTTTCTATTTTTTTCTGTTCTCTTTATTCGAAACATGTACAGGTCGATCGTAACAGTGATAAAATTATCCACAACACAAGCTAATAGTCATCACTAACCACATAAAAGATTTATATATCTCTATGCATAATACTTGCCAATCTCAACATATTTCCTCCATATATTAGCGAACTTTAGATAAGAAAATGCTGCACAGATTTACTGCAAAAATAACAGAAAATAGAAAGTAAAACATAATGTTCACGTGCCTTGACATCTTTAGAGTCATAGTTATTGGTACATGAGACCATGTCATGCCCCGTATTTCCACATTTAACGCATAGTCGAGAAGTAAAATCCACCAAGTCATTTTTATTTGGGCAGTCTGTGATGAGGTGACCCTTCTTTGAGCAGATCAAGCAACTAGTCACCTGTCATATCCATTAAAGCAACAAAATGAATTTAAAAAAATATTCACAGCAAATGCGAACAACGTACTTGAAAAGGTTCGCCTAGAAACGAAATCACTGACGTATTTTAAATGGGACTTAAAAGGTTTCAGCAATTTAGTGTGGTAGAAGAATGTTTTCAACTATTTACTTGAAATACAAGCTAAACGAGTGGAATAAAAGCAGTCCCACTAGAAAAGGAAGAGATAGAAAAATGGTTGAGGAAGTAAGAAATGCTGCATATACTTCTTAAGCACACGAGAGACGAACCTCGTGGCAAATCTCTCCATCGTGACCAACATCACCGCAAACATAGCATCTTGTCTTCTTTTTTCTTCTATTAGTATTTCTCACGAATTTGTTGTCATTTCCCATGCTAGCATCACGTTTTGTTCCCTCCTCCAGTAAACTTGCTTTCTCACCAATACTTGATATTTTTTTATTAATTCCCTCTTTCTGCCTAATCTGCAGCATGTTGAATTAAAACTCAGCATCAAGTATGAACATATGACGGAAATTTTCTATAACTTCTGTTTAAAGCATTCGTCTCACTTTAACTAACTAAATAATGCTAGTGGTAAAAGTACAAAGCATATAGCTAACAAGGAATATGTTCTATCTCATTTACTTATGAAAGAACCCTTAAACACATGGATTATAGTCGAATTATACTACTATTCTACATCTAATGATATCAGGGAGAAACAAAAGATTAGAATAAAGCTTTTCATCATCAACCTGTATAAATCATGATTCTCAAATAACTTCTGTTTTTTAACAATCACAAGAATAATATGAAGTGACTTAACAATAACAAGAATAATATGAAGTGAGTTCGCATTAAATTCGAAGAACTCAAGGATACAACAGAAATTGATGTAAGATAAAACGAAAAGGGAAATGAGGATTTTGATTATTAAAAAAAAAAAA